TATTAAGGGATTATAAAAATGATTATAAAAGGCATATTTGATATAGTAGCACTTTGTCAAGAGATTATACGGAGTGCTCATTACATCCATAGATAGACTTTTTTGTAATAAAATATTCGGTTTTTAGTCGGGTCGGTGCGGGTTCGGGTCGGGTCGGGCAAAATTATAAATCCACACCCGACCCGACCCGATGTCGGGTTCGGGTAAAAAATTTTGGGTCGGGTTCGGATTAGTTTATTTCCGGTTCGGGTTCGGATATTTTAGTAGTCGGTCGGGTCGGTTAAGCTCGGGTTCGGGTTGAATTGCCATCCATAGTGTGTTTCTGAAGGGGACATGGGTCTCACCTACCCAACGAGGAACTCCCGAGTTGGTTTAGAACTTGGCCTTCATTCTGAAGGGGAAGGTCATGACTCCCGTAGAAAAGTAATAAAGATAAGCATTAACCTATGATAGGTTATGTGCCTAGTAAATGGATAGAATCATAGTTAAAATAAGCCTTAACCTAACATAGGTTATGAGGCCAGTAAAAAGGATCAAGTTAGGTGATCAAGTAACAAGAAGGTAATATTCTATGTTTGTTAAGGTTGAACATTGTTATTTGATGACTCTAATGTTATGTATGATATGCTTATGTGTTGATATCATGTGATCATTTTGATTTAATGGATTCACCTACGTGTATATTCGAACTGTTAGATACTTCTCACTCAGCTTCATTGCTGAGCGTGTAGCCTCTTTTTCCTCTTTGCTACACGTAGGTGGTTGTGGAAGGTTGACTTTGGAATACATCATGGAGGGAAGCATGACGGAGGAGATGTACGGATGCAGAGATTTTTAAGTTGTTTGAGTTTAAATTAGGTGTTTTTAATTTCTTATCAATATTGTATATGGATGTCAATTTAGTGGAAATCCGTTCGCTGATTCATATATTCGGGTTATGCGAGTTGGAGTGTTACACAAGCCAAGGCCGAGACAGTCAAGCCAAGGCTGAGCCAAGGCCGAATCCTTGTAGGATTCGAATTGATTACTTTCCATCTTTGTTTAATTCTATTCTTAGTAAATGTAGAATTATGGTTGGGATAGAAATTTACTTATTTGCTTTAATCTTTTCCTACAAAAAGAGGGTTAGCTCTTTATAATCTTTGAGACGATTCAATCAAAGTTAATCTTTGAGACAATTCAATATAAAGTTGGGTCATGAAAATGTAGCTCTCAACTTGAACCTGAATTTATCTGAACCCAAAGTAACTTGAACCCAAAGTGATCGAACTCGAACCCGACTCGACCGACCATTTTGACCGCTCAATCATACTTGGTCCGTCCCTGAGTATTTGTCCACTTTTGACTTTTGGAACTGTTCATCTAAGCACTTTGACTCATCAAATTCTCTCAATGTGTAAGCCTAAAAATAGTCATGTGTGATCTTGTTTGATTCGTCTTAACATATAGATTATTAATATATAATTTTTATAATTTTTTAATATACAAATTAAAAAATAAAATGGATTAAAGAAGTGCATTGGATGGTGTGCAAAAATGAAAGTGGACAAACACTCAGGGACGGAGGGAGTAGTTAACTTGTTCGAAATGTTGGCGGGAAGGATTCCGCATGGTGTTTGTGCATTAGGAGACGGTGGGGCCGCTATGGACTTTCGGCGTCTGATGTGGGGCCTACTCAAAAATTTGACGTGGTTACAGCGGTTCGGAATTTTTGGTGGTATTAAGTATAAACCGCGCCACCGCGGTAATATTTGGCTGTTGAGTGGTTGGACAAATAAAATACGGAGTATGAGCTGTTGAGTGGGGGCCACGGGACTTCCAATATTTACTTGCCACATCTCCGTCAAATTTAACACAAATCTTTGACCCAAATCAATAAATTTGGCATTTACAAACAATTGATGACAATTTTTGGGTGAAATGAAATAATCCCATAGGAAAATATTTGCAAATGTACTAAAAAAATCTTTTAGTAAATAGGGATGGCATATTTGTTGATATTCTTGCCCTATCAGCCATCACTAATTTGCTTTTATTTTTATTCTTCTATTTTTTCCAACTTCCAAGTTCAAAAAATTGTCTATACTTCAAGTATTTTTCTAGATTTTAGATACTAAACTCCACACCTTTAATTTTTGGTATGAGTTAAAAAATTGTTGTGTACTACACAAAAACAATAAGAAATTTGTAGGGAAAAAAATAAAGTAAGAGCAAGACATTCAAAATATACGGAGTACTCCGTATTTAATTAGGAGTTCCATATTTTTATTCTTAAAATATGAGTTAAAATGCATATGCATTTACATTATCAATCATGACCATGTATTTTACCAAAAAGTATAGTAAAATGCACATGTACCTACAGTGTCATATCACCACAGTGCAAATTTCTTTTTAGCTAGGGAATAAAAATATGGAATTCTAATTTGTGGTACTTTTTCTATATTTTACTCCTATTTAAGGTGATTTTTTTAAATTTGTAATTATGCCAATGACACTTTATTAGATATATTAATCTATCCTAGATCTACGAGATATATGTGACGTTGCAGTGATTGTCTTAGAATTTCGTTGTGAAATAATAGGATGTTTAAAGTTTAAGGCAGAAAACTCTTTTGTGAAAAAAATAATGTCATTTGCGACATGTCGTTGTTGAAATTCCAGTGTGTCAAGAACGAATAAAGTGTCGAGTACAATTCATCTTATAAAATCGAGATCTACTTTCTAATCCAAAAATTTAAGCTAAAAGCTAAGTAATATTTCTCTTCTATATATGATAGCATGGGTGGACCCAGGGTCCAATTGGTCAAGTGACACCACTGAAAACTTTTTAAAACAATATTAGGTACAATGCAATTTTTTAAAAGTTTTATATAACTAATAATAATACCATTAATTGTGTAACTTTGTTACTTTGAATAATTTGAATGTTTGAACACAATTTTTTTTTAGTTTTTTTTATATTTCTCATTGTCAACAATGAACAAATACTTCGAGACGAAGGGTGTACTTCGTATAGGGTTAACAAGAAGTTCTTAAAATCAACTAACAAAGTTATGATGCAGGTCATTGTTATGCAAATAAAATAAACTCACATTCTTTTATTTTTTATTTTCTAAATCTTATTTCTAATTGTTTTTATATACATATATTCGATCAAGAGTCAAGACTTCAATAAGAAACAGACGACGAATTTTCCAAGACGAAAACCCACACTTGATTGAAGTTTCTATGAGATTTTGGACATTTGTATCCCATTAAATTTTGTTCTAGATCCGTTTGTTGTTGATTATCCCACATTTTTAACATGCATGCCATGGATATGCCATATATATATGGAAGGGAAGGTGATTTTTATACTACACTACAAAAAAAGAGGGCAGTACCGACAGATTCTTAGGGACAGAAACCTTATTTGTCGCTAAAAAGAGGATATTACCGACAGATAAAGTTATTTGAAGGCAAAAACTATTTGACCCACAGAAAGAGTAATATCTGTCGCTATTGGTTATAGTTTTAGTAACAAACATTTATCTGTCAGTATTGCTTTTAGTTTTAGCGACAAAACTTTATCTGTCAGTATTGTTTATAGTATTAGCAACAAAAAAATTATCTGTCGGTATTGTTTAAAGTATTAGCGACAAAAATTTATCAGTCGGTATTGTTCATAGTTTTAACAACAACGTTTTATCTGTCGGTATTTATTTTATTGATATTTAATTTAAATATCTTAATTTTAAAAATCATAAAATTAGGCATCATTTAGTACATGAAATTGGAAATGAAAAACCTTAATTTGAATTTTGTTGTTTGGTCGCACAAAAATATATGATATTGAAAATTAATTATAAATTTAAAAGATAAAAAACTAAAAATTAAAGATTAAAAATAATTTTTTTACATTGAATATTTACAAATTAAAATTATAATTTTTAATTTTAGATTTTTAAGTTATAAATTAAAATTAAACTGACTAAAATCAAGACATATGTTAAAAGAACAAATCAACAAACTAAAAACGAGAGGGATGAAAATGCTAGTGGAGATATGTAGAATTTTTCATATTATTGATGTAGAATAATAAGATATAGATTCTTAACCATTTCCAATGCGGTTAAAAGATATGTCGGCCGACCGCAACTCGAAAATCAAAAATCAGGGGATTGACAGTGAAACCGAAAACCAAAAACCGAAGTAACTTTCATACCAAGTTTGCGTAAAACTGCTCACAAGAAGGGAATTTATAGCTAAAAACTGTAAACAAGTAGGAAAAGGACCCAAAAAGACAAAACTGTAAAATTAACAGTCTAAAAAGCAGGATTTTGGGTCGAAGATGGATCCCGATGGGTCTTTGACGGATCGGACCCCTGTGCGTCTCACCGACACACCTCTCCGGAAAGGGGTAGACTGCTGAAATCAGACACCCATAGCCAAAGTTATGACCCAAACAATGTAGTAACCCAAAATGCTTCAATTTCCTGCTAGTCTTGTGTTTATTTTGTGATTCATCATAAAAATTGATAAGTCTTATATTTGTGCATGTGTTGTTATATTTTGTTGGACTTAGTGAGTTTGTTTTTATATTAAATTGCATAACCTTGGTTAAAATTATGATTTTGGATGGATTTGTGTTTATGGTTTAATTTTAAAATCTAATTATAAGGAAAGGATCAATTAGCAAACACATTAGCAAAATGGGGTCAATTTATAATATTAAGAAGTTTTAATGTTGATAGAGGAGGAAGGGAGATCGTGCAGAGGGGAACGAGAGGCGGAAGACGGATTACTCTCATTAACTAACCCAAATTGTAAATGCTCAACCCTAACTTACAAAAACTCCATCAAGCCGTCAGTTTCTTCTTCTTCTGCGGTATTTTCGATCATCATCACCGTCATCAGTTCATCGTCATCACCGGCGGTCACCACCACTGTTCCGTCTCCTTTTCTTGTGCACACGGACAAAGTTCAACGGGAAATGAGGGCAGCGGTATTGTAGCTCGAGATCTGATTTTTCAATTCGAGATTTCATTCTTCGATTAATCGAGGTGAGTGGGTGGATCCTCTTCCGTTAGAATCATACTAGGTTATAAGCATATATATACCCTAATGCTCGTGTCTATATAGCCTATTGTGTGTATGCTTGGCTTGTTGAGAAATTGAATGGGTAGACTTTGGATGATGATAGTGGTGAATTGAATCGTGGTATTGTGTGAATCAAACATATTTGGACTGAAATTAGGAATCAGAAATCGGGAAATTGGGTTGGGTTGCGTGGAGGTCGATCCACTGTTGGTCGCCGGTTAAGGGCGGTCAAGCTCCGGGGACATCTCCGTTTCCAGCAGGTTCTGCAAGGGATCACTGGGGTCGTTCATCTCCTCATCTCGTTTTGATATTGATTCGTATCCACGACTGAAACTTACTCAGGAAAATAGTTCAATTAGGCTTTTATGTTACTTGGTGTTTTGTGAATTTTATTGGGAACTTTGGAAACTGCAATTTGTATGTTAAGAATCAGATCGTGTAAATGTTAGATTGATTTGGGCAGAGAGGGATTGCGCTAGCTAGTTTATTCGACATATGTACCCAAGTTGTGCGGGGTTGGAATGTTTGTTCGGCATATGTACTAAGGCTGTGCACCTTTGGAATCTCACTTACTTGCATTCTAAGTGCCATTTTGGAATTTGGATTTGAGTTTGACTGGATAAAATATGTGTGTGCGCCTATTGTGGTTACGGGCATTTGGGCTTATACCATTGGTTTTTTTAAATTAATAAGTACCATGCATGTGATTACTCTATTTGGTTATGTGTACAATTGCAAATATGATGCATGCTGTGAACTACGGAGTACTATTTTTTGACAATATCGTGAAAACAAATCCTAACTCAAATACGGGGAGGATATTGAATGTGAATTTGACTTTCTTTTTACGTGAAATTAGTTGACCGTACCAACTTAGTGTTCCGACGGAGGTGACCTAGATTCACCATAGATGACCGGACAAACGTAGCAGTTCAACGGAGGTGGCTTGGATCCACCATAATAATAAAATTGAAACTGACCGGATGGGTGTAGTCACTGTAGTAGCCCGAGGTGGCCTCGGTCCATCATAATAATAAAATTGGAATTGGCCGGATGGGTTTAGTAGCCCACAAGAGGTGGCCTGGATCCACCAAGGTGGTGATGTACGTCCATTGAGACCCAATGTGAACTACGGCTTATATTTTGCTTTAGAATGGGCTGAATAGACATGAAAAAGAATGGTTGACTAATGTTGCTAAGTTTTACCTTGTATGTTCATATGTACTTTTCATGTGCTTATAATTTATTTTTTTTGCATAGGGTTCAACGGCTAATCCAAAATCGATGACCTTACAATTGATGGTAATACAACCACTGTGAAAAGTCAAGATCGATGGAACAAAGATGATGAAGCTGAGAGCGATGAACTTGAAGATGTAGACAGTGATGAGCATTAAAGCTTTGGACTATATATTCCATATCAATGTGTATTTTAATTTAGTTCACTTTGACTGTTTATACTTTAGCTTGAAACGTACGCAAATGATGAACTAATTTTGAGATGTTGGTTTACTTTCAAGTAAATGGATTAGTTGTAATCCTTTGAAATGTTATTGTATTATGTATGGTTGTTAATACAAGTATGAGTATTATTTTTTAGTAACAATTATAATAAATGTTAATGTTGGTCAAAATAAACTATTACCGACAGAAAAAAATGTTTTACTCACACATTTTTTTGTGGGTAATCCAACTTTTAGCGACAGTTATAATAAATGTTAATGTTGGTAAAAATAAGGTATTACCGACAGAAAAAAATGTTTTACCCACACTATTTTTTGTCGGTAATCCATGTTTTTAGCGACATATATGTTTTGTCGGTACTTCTCTCTTTTTTAGCGACGTCTTTGGTCTGTCGCTATTACACTATTTTAGTGACAATATATTTTATCTGTCGGTAATACTTTTACTGACGGAGTTTTTAGCGACAGCGTAGCGACAGACAATTATCTGTCGGTAAAAGCGAGTAGCGACAGATATTCAACCTTTAGCGACATATTGACCCCTGTCGGTATTGCTTCTTTTTTTTGTAGTGCTACTAACTCTACACATATGTAGTAATACACACATGTTATATAGATTAGAATGGTCCCTTGTACGTACGTACTTTATTCATAACTTTGTGCATGCATGAATCGTTTACTTCACGTGGTACTAGCTAGTGTTATTGTGTGAGATCATAAATCCTTTTCCAGACTTACAATTACAAGCTCGATCGAGTTCTTAATTATGTTTGTTAGGTAATACATGGGCAAGGCCGGTTTTGATGATTCAAGAGTCCAAAACGGGATAAAAAAGAGGTACCTAGCTAGAGTACTTAATTAGACAATACCAACGAATTAAATTACATTATGTACTTCTTTCGTCCCATACAAATGTTCATGTTTTAACTTTTAACAACTTTAAGGGGGCATAATTTTGTGTTGATTTTCCAAAAATACAATTGATGTAAGAATAAGCAAAAGTGAGACGTGATTGATAGATTATTAATAAAAAAAATATGATGTGATAGGTAAGTTAAAAATTAATAGGGGTAAAAGTAGTTTTTAATTAAAAAAAAGAAAAGATTTAGTGCGACAAGAAAAGAAGAAAATTGAAGGTGTTTTTGGTAACGGAGGGAGTATAAACCAATTTTTAAAAAAGACAATAAACTAATTTTTGGATGAAACGAAAGTTCATCTCCTAATTGAGGGCGATTCCCATGAGATTGGAACCTCATGTCATAGGATGACCAGGAATCACTACGGTGTCCCATTCCTAAAATTAATAATTCCTACCCCCTAACCCACTAGTAAACCCCCCACCCCACCCACCCTGCATGCCTCCGTCCCATATCTTCTATGCTGGCTCTTCAGAATCTGCAGTGCAATACTTGGTCATTAATATATCGATCTATTTGTGTATATATGAATATATTATAAGAATATGATATTTTAAAATTATGTCCAGAATATGTGCATTGATATTAAATTCATATCAAAATTAAAAAGAAATTAACCACCAAATTCAAAAAAAAAAAAGAAGAAGGAAGATTTGAATCCGATAATTACATACTCCCTCCGTCCCAAAAAGTCCGACACGTTTCGAAAAAACTGCGTCCCGTAAAGTCCGTTACGTTTCTATTAAAAAACCACTTTTACCTCTTACTTTTTCATACCCTACCTATTACATCATACCTTTTTCCTAATAATCTACCCATCACATTCTACTTTTACTCATCACATCAAGGGTATTTTTGGAAAATCAACACCAAAATATGTTACGGGACTTATTATTATTATTATTATTATTATTATTATTATTATTATTATTATTATTATTATTATTATTATTATGGTAAGGAATTATTTATAGTTAGTTATTTATTGTTAGGGAATAATATATTTGTTAGGTGATTATTTAGTTTCCTAGTTTATTTAGTTACCTTTTATAATTAGGATTCTTAATTTATTTAGTTACCATTTATTATTGAGATTCTCTAGAGTTGGAGCCTATAAATGTATCCATCACNTGTTACGGGACTTATTATTATTATTATTACTATTATTATTATTATTATTATTATTATTATTATGGTAAGGAATTATTTATAGTTAGTTATTTATTGTTAGGGAATAATATATTTGTTAGGTGATTATTTAGTTTCCTAGTTTATTTAGTTACCTTTTATAATTAGGATTCTTAATTTATTTAGTTACCATTTATTATTGAGATTCTCTAGAGTTGGAGCCTATAAATGTATCCATCACAATAGTATTATCAATGAATGAATAAAGAAAATACTTTCTACTAAATCTTAATCTCTCTCTTTCTCACCTCTTTTGTTCTTGGAGCTCGAAGGTGCTCGAAATTCTTCCCTATCCCGATACGATACCGTATCAATTGGTGCTTTCATTCTTAAACTCGCCCAAAAAATACAAAAAAAAAAAATCTACGGCACACGCAATGGATTCTCTGTTGGACAAAGTTCTTGGTTTACTCGAGAAAGTTCTACGGGGACAAATTGAATTTTATGAAGGCGTGTGTGCAGTTGAAGATTCCGTTGATGAAATTATAAAGAAACTTCAGGCATTCCGTCCAATTGAAAGTCAACCAAAATTTGATTCCGACGTATATGCGTTCTCCGTAGAGGCCTTTTGCTCAATACAGAATTTAGTTCGTGGTCTCCCAATTATGCCGAGCCTGATTCCTATAGAGTTATACATTTTCAAAACAACCATGATGCGCTTTATAAAGAAACTCATCGGCACTCCACGAGATCCGGCCCCTACAGTACCTGTGCAGAACACAACTTTACAAGACCAGGAATTTGAAAAGGAAATTTTTATTGATCCTGTTGGTGTTCCTGATGATGATCTTATTATTGATCACATAGATGTTGTTCCTATTACCGTTGCTGATATTGTTGTTGCTGTTTCTGGTGACGATCAACGAAACCACACACTCCAAGAAAAATATTCAAGAGATGATGTCATTTTTTATGGATGCACGGAAACTTTTGGGAGGTCAGGAAGTGACGTTGTTGTCCTTTATAATTCCGAGGATGTTGCACGTGATTGCATAATATTCCTACTCTTGGTTGCCCGGAACTGTTTACTTGACACTGGGAATGTTTTAGACGTGACTCGTTCTTTTGGTGCTCCAAGGATCAAGGTGTTTGACCCTGGAGGATGGACGATGAACGGTGCAATTTTTTCCCGTTCATTATTTGATTTCCAACTTGAGGACAAGTTGGTTTTCGAGGCGTGAGGAGTGTTACGGAACTTATTATTATTATTATTATTATTATTATTATTATTATTATTATTATGGTAAGGAATTATTTATAGTTAGTTATTTATTGTTAGGGAATAATATATTTGTTAGGTGATTATTTAGTTTCCTAGTTTATTTAGTTATCTTTTATAATTAGGATTCTTAATTTATTTAGTTACCATTTATTATTGAGATTCTCTAGAGTTGGAGCCTATAAATGTATCCATCACCATAGTATTATCAATGAATGAATAAAGAAAATACTTTCTACTAAATCTTAATCTCTCTCTTTCTCACCTCTTTTGTTCTTGGAGCTCGAAGGTGCTCGAAATTCTTCCCTATCCCGATACGATACCGTATCAAAATATCTCTCCCTTAATTTTCCAAAAAGTCAATATGTACCAATCTTTTTGGGACGAAGGAAGTATATATTAGGGGGTATTTTATATGCCATTATGCACCATGAATGAATGTCTACCTTTTAGAGGGCTCTTTGTCTAATTACGATTTTGGATTTGATACTCCCAAACCCCTAAATCTTTGGTTTGACTAATTTCTCATGAACTATTCAATTGGGTGTCGCCTTCCAAAATCCTCCGTCAATTCATTAGCCATTGATGGGACGTTAGGTGAAACCATCGCTCTCGGTTTGGTTCTTTAGGTCTTCTTGCTACTCCCTTTTTCCGGACAAAAATTGGACATAAAATGTCCCGTCTTGCCCGTTCCTAACGCAACTCGCACTCTCTAAATTTTGTTGATTTTAGGGTTTAAATTGATTCAAAAATCAATAAAATTTGGGAAGCGTAATTGGAGATGGTCAATGAGTACGCGCGTTAGGAACGAGACGAATTGTAGGGAACTAGTATAGAGGAAGAACGCTGCGAAGATGCGTTAACAAAAAACGAGAAGAACAATTTGGAAAGCGTGACTGGAGATGGTCAATAAGTACGTTAGGAACGAGAAGGACAGAATGGTTTATTATGATTTAGAAAGATAAGAATTTTCAATTTTACAAATGAAGTATTATATTACAAGTGTCTGGTATAAAATTAGGCTCTAATGTCAAAAAAGGTTTGGTGATTGAAGTTATACACAAAAGAAACTAAAGCTTTGCCATGACTATGTATAGTTTTAAGAAATGTTTCATATTCTAACATAATACTCTATTTGAAAATGTTCAAAAACAATTTCTTACTTATCCTTCTCTTATTAGATATAGGACCGTGCTACACACTCCCCACCCTTACTACCAACCTTGCCTCCACCCACTTCTCCACTACATATTTATCTTTACCCATTCTCCACCCACCCTCTAATTTTAATTTTCTTGCCTCCCTACCACATGTTTATGTAGGGGGCATAGTTGGTAGCAAGGGTGTGGGCTTTTTAGCATTTTCCTTAGATATATATATTATATATAATCCAACATATTCTGTTGCTATTTAAAAAGAATTTAAGCACTTAGTTTTTAATTTCCTTATCATTTTGACACTTTTTAATTTTCGTCAAGATAAAATAAGTATTTTTTATAGGACGGAGAGAGCATTATTACTTAAATTGTTACTCCTTCTACCTTAGAATAATTTTTATTTTCATTAATATTTGATAAAATAAAATAGATATTGCTAACTCCTCCTCTTACATGCGTGGAGCATCTTTGTACAAGAAACGACGTCGTTTTCCGTTCTGCTTCCATCCGGAATTTCGACCCACCCCAAATTTCTGGCCTGGAAGCAAAGAACCGAATGAAATGGCCGCTCACTGCGTCTCCATAGCCACCGCTGCTACCGCCGGAATCTACGAATTCCGTCGGAGGAAATCCGTCAAACTCGCCGCAGAGGTTTTAAACTTCCCATGGAATGGTGCTCCGACCCGAATTCCACTCCAATCCACCAGTTTCGGACCCTTTCTTCCAAAGCGTTCGCTCATCAAAGCATCTGTCTCCATCAGCCTCCCATCTTCGTAAGTTCATTTATTTTTTCTTGATTTGTGCACATTTTCAGTAGATTTTTTGTCCATATAGCCAAGTTCGATTCTTTAAGTGCGTTCAGTTTTTATTGAGACGAATCAGGCGACTTTAGTTTTCTTTATGTATAAATCACTAAAGGTAATCTTATGTGAATGAATAAACAATGCAAAAATCTTCTTTGTTGCATTTATTTAAGAACGGAAGAAGTATGCATAATTATAGGGCTAAAATGTTGCATTGTGACCTAAATTATTGTAAGCTTTGAGATTTATGGAGAAACAATTAGGAATGAACAAAAGAGGAGAGCGAGAAGATAGTATTAAGCATAGATGAAGTGGTGAATTTCGGGTTTTGTTGTAAAAATGTATTCTTTTTCTTTGTGCAATTTTATTATAGGAATGCAGATGGAGCTGTCTCTGTGAAGAATCTTCCCGAGTGAGTCTTTCGCATTGGACTAGTATTTAAATGCAGATATTGGCTTCCTAGGGTTCATTTTTCGTTTCTTTCTTCAATTTTATTGGGATGGGATTTTGATGTTGAGGTTTGTTGAATTGGGTGAATGAAGTCGTAGATGGTCATCGAAGGCGATTAAGTCGTTTGCAATGTCCGAACTGGAAGCAAGGAAACTCAAATATGCCACAACTGGGACGGCAGCGCTACTCATGGGTATTCTAATTGAGGGTTAGTTAGTCAATTCTTTGAAAGCATTCAAATGTTTGTTTTCTTAGGTCACTCCTTTATCAATGTTTGAGTTTCTTGCTTTTGATTTGTTTCGCTGGAAATATGAAGTGTTTCGATGGTTTGTTTTGCTATTTGTGGGGGAGGGTCGATTTGTAAATGTAGCTCATGTGTTCAGAGTTTAGCCCACGTTTATTTTCAAGTAGACGTTAGTGTGCGTACCCATATCCTTAAAGTTTCCAACTTTAAGGATGAGTAAACACTAACACTGTCTTTTGGACAACAACAGCAACAAAAGCAAACCCAGTAAAAATCCCACAAAAAGCAAGGTCTGGGGAGGGTGTGTGTACTTAGACCTTACCCCTACTTGGAAACAGATAAAACATGGTATTTTGGAAAGGACATAAATTGTGTGCTATGTTTAGTTTGTTGGTTTTTGTTTGTTTCTTCAGGAACAAGTTTTGCTTCAAAGTATTTGTGGGCCATTGGTATTACCCTTCTCAAAGTTCGCGAAGAAACCATTAAGGTTTGTGGGAAAGCAAGCTATTATACATCTTGTCCCGAGCATCCTCCTTTGACAGAAGATGCAGAGAAAGCTCTTGATTGGGCTCTCAGCAACGAAGCCAAAACTGGTAAGTTATTGAAGGAAAAAAAGTACAATTAAACCCGGCCGAAAACAAAAGATTCTGATACCCTTTTGGGTAATGGCATATATGCAGGTGGAGATGGAGAGATTACAACAACTCATTTGCTACTTGGAATTTGGTCGCAAGAGGGGTCACCGGGTCACAAGATCATGGCTTCTCTAGGCTTCAACAATGAAAAAGCTCAAGAGCTGAAGGACTTGATTTCTAAACCTGGCTTTAATGAGGACTAGTGGTTGATCAAGGCTGCCTGCTATTGAGGTTTGTTCATTTACCATTTTACCCCTTACCCCCCCCCCAGTACTGGGCTTACGCTTCACATATTAATGAACATGTCCAGAAATGTATGATTTGCATGAGAGTAACCACTGCTGGCTGGTGTTTCTTTTTCCTTAATCTGTAACTCGCAATTTCTTGAAGAATTGAAGATGAAACCCAACTTTTCTACTCGATTTTACTCATTCAATCAGGGCAAGGTTTGCGTACACGCACCCTCCCCAAACCTTACTTCTTGTGGGACTTTACCGAGTTTGTTGTCGTCGTCGTAGTTTGATTAGGTTGGTTCGTTTCTTAAATAATGCAAAATTGAAAAACCAAGAGGTAAAGTTGGGTTCGGTCGTGTTTGGCGAGTTTGGGTTGGGTTTGGTCAACTTGGTTTGTTTTTCATGCATAAACTTGCACTGTAAATTGATTTATTGTCACAACTCAAGTAAAAAAATAATTGAAGTCACATTTGGACTGGTTTCATTTCAATATTTTGCCAACAAAATTAAAAATTTCATAGAACAATTATGTAAAATTTTGATGGCCATCAGTTTATGTACTGAAATTCTTCAATCACTTGATAAAAGGTATATACGGCTTCCATTTCCAAACCTCCTGTTTTTAAAGAGGAAATAAGAGAAGTGTAATTTTATTTTGAGAAAAATAAAAAGAAAAAAAGAAATTTAAATTTTAATAATGTGAACGTGATTTAAAATAGTCAATCAAAGTGCGTCTAATCGAGTGCACATCTCACTATATCATTAAAATATAAAGGCATTTTGTGATGTGCATACCAAAATAAATATTTGAGTGGCATTAAAATTTCCCTCCCATAGGCTATACAAAATGCTAGGTAGAAATATGCTAAGTTTAACACCAAGGTTGGTATCATATGCTATTTTTATTGGCCAGACAATAATTATTATAAGTGAGAAATTTATTATTTTTGAGATACCAAGAGCTTGTCCTCTTCACCTGATCTGAATGATTCCGATCAAATTTGAATAAATTTTGATCTGATCTGACCTAAATGTAATTAAATTTAAAGTTGTTTCTGATCTGATTTGATCTAAACTGGTAACAATTAGAAAAAGTAATAAATAATAAGTTGAAGAGAACGTGCTCTAAAAGTGTCAACCTTGGTGGGTTTCTAGCATGATTTTTTCTTATACATTAAAATTTCGTTTCACTTTTTTACCTGTCTCTATATAAATTGTAATCACATACCACACCAAAAAAAATTGTAATCACATATTGAGGAGTACAGTATAATTTACAAGGTCCAAAGTTCGTTTTAGTTTGACTAAAAAAGAAAATCAAAATGAACGATTACATTAGAACGAAGGGAGTATTATTTACTTTTGAGGCTTAGAGCATGTTCTCTTCGTACTAAAGATGTTTCTGATCTGGTTTGATCAAAAGTTATATTTAAAGATGTTTTTGATCTGGTCTGATTCTAGTAAGAACAAGTAATACTACGTAAGTATTAAATTTAGATCTGATATATATTTCAAAAGGTTTGATCTGATTCAAGTTATATTTAAAGCACACATTATATGGTACATTAGAATGTACTTTGCTTGATATATCATGACAAACTTGTAACTAAAACAACATTTCAAATTGAATACTACATTGTTTCAAAATAAATATTAAATTATTTCAGAATGAACGTGTTTCAAAATGAACACTATGTTGAGCAGGCGTGGAATGAACATTATAATAAAAAATGAACGTTTTGTTGATTCCAAATAAATACACATTCTCTGCTTAAAGCGTATAGAGTATACAGATGGCATATATAGTGTACCAATTCCATGTTATTGTTCATGTTAAATACCCCGTAACATACACTTCAAATTGCGATTTGACACTTTAAAATGTGTGTGGAACTACATTGATTTAGTTTGAAATTCGTAGGCATAAGGGCATTTGTAGTGATGGCATTTCCGCCGCGCCGCACAAATCCCGAGACCACGCCTCGCCTTTCGCTGCAGATCTTCCGCCGCGGCACTCGCCCGAAAAGCGGCGCAAAGCCGCGCATGAAATGGGATTGTTTTCGCGGCGGCCGCCCACTGCAGTGATCACCGCCGGATTTTTTTCTTTCAACCCTATAAATTCAACGCATCTTCCACTTCAATCCATCCACTCTTATCTATCAATCTACCTATTTTCTTAATTTCATCTCTTTTTTTTTATTTTTTTGTTTGTTTTTAAAATTTTAGTTATATCTTTGTGTATTTCATTTTTATAGAGATGTTTTTTTAATAAAGAATGTCAATCTTAACATTTTTATTTTAATTATATGTATTTTATTTTTTTCATAAAAAATTGTAATTAAAATGATGAATAATGTAAAAGATAATAAGATAGGTTTTCAAGCCGATATCATTGCAGGATTTTTGCATGTGAAATTTGCACTAAATATGACTAAAATATAATGACTTTCCGAATTTAAGACTTAAACTTTTTTATTCCCTAAATAAGACTTAATAATGTCTTCGTGGAAGGAATAATGCCCAACAATGATAGACATTACTTGAATAATGACTAAAGAATAATGACCAAATGTCCTACATTCGGAAATAAAAACATATGGTCCTATTTTAGGAAAGTCATTATGTTTTAGTCCTATTTAGGTAAATTACTCTTTTTGCATGGTCAGAAAGTTAGTGGAATGCTGATGTGGCAGAATTTGGGGCGGGACGAAAAAGCCCCTCATTGTATATGCCCTAAAACCATTATAATTGAAATCAAGAAAAAAAGGCCTCCTTTTTTTACAAAATTTATATCTAAAATACTACGATTTCAAATCGTTATACAAACAACTCTTCCATATTCTTCTCCGTTCACTTTTCCAATCTAGAGAGGATGGACATTAGTGCCTATTTTCTAAACCGCTATCAGAGCCCAATAGCCTATTTTTCATTTATTTTTTAATTTCTTTTTAAAAATTATTCTTTATAATTTTTTTAAATTTTAAAAATTAGTTTTGTTTGAAATAAAAATAAATTATCATATACTTCATTTGTCTCAAGTTAAAAAAATCATTTTATTAATGTACATGTTGGAAAATTTCTCTTTCATCTGAATACCCATCGATCAAAAAAAGTTATAACCATAATATTTTTAATTTTAAAATTTTTAAAATGCGTAAAAATTAAAGGTTAAAAGTTAATTTATAGGAGGAATAGGGGGACTATAAATGTTGAAAGAAAACTCAAATATTTTTTAAAAAGAGAATCCCATTAATTAATTTATTAATAATAATTAAATGAATTAATAATAATAATAATAATAATAACAATAATAATAATAAAAATAATAATAATAATAATAATAATAATAATAATAATAATAATAATAATAATAATAATAATAATAATAATAATAATAATAATAATAATAATAATAATAATAATAATAATAATAATAATAATAATAATAATAATAATAATAATAATAATAATAATAATAATAATAATAATAATAATAATAATGGGATGCATGGGGGAGGGG